GGGGGGGGGGGAGAGGGGGGCCGTTTGTGACCTCTGCCGGCACACCACAGGCGGTGTGTTACTGACTCACTGATGCAACCTGATTGTCGGCTGACCCGACATTGCGTTGTATGCGAGCCGCATGCACCGGTGTCCATGTGGCGTGCTTGGTCCATTCTTTAGAGTGCTTGGGCATGTGTAGATCCCCCACACGTCTACGTGTGTGGACGCACGTATTCATGCGTGCATTTGTGAGTAAAGGGGCAGGAGAGGGAAAGGGTCGGGCTGTGATTAGATGGGAGACTCGAGAGCGAGGAGACAGCAGACACCTGATTGTGCCGTGCTTGAGACATTGAATGCAATGACTCAATTCAACCGATTGACACCATCACAATCGATCAGTCCCACACAGATACGCACAAACGTTGGCACACATCACACGGCATGATGCGCCTGGCTGCAAGTTGTGTGTCTCTGTAGGCTGTTGTCTCATGACACCTGCACGTCGAGATTCTCGACATTGTCGAATGGACCCATGGTTACTACACCCGATTTCACCCTTCACTCAAAGCGGTTAAAGTTTGCCTAGTGCGGAGAGGCTGCTTACAACCCCCTGAGCAGCCATACGGGGGGAGCCAGTCGCGCCAGTCCTCTTCCACAGCGGCACATCAGTACAAGCACATTACCTATACAAGCACATTACTTATGACCACGAACTCCAGGTAGGAGGGCGTACTGTAAGAACAGATGAGAGACACAAGCAGAGACACATTAGTTGCCCAATGCTTGGTGCTGTGTCTGAAAGTGTGGGACTGTCGCGCCTGCAGTCCGGACCGCGTAAGTGGGTCAGTACATGACCCACTTACGCGTCTGACCCGCTTATACGTACAGTCCGGACCGCGTAAGTGGGTCAGTATAGGGCTGACCCACTTACGCGTTAAATTCGTTATCACCTGAAACGGACTTTTTCTCAGGTGAAAACAGACTTCAGCTTGCGCTCCTGTGATCGCTCTACTCCTCTGCTCCTCTTTAGAGGTCTCATACATCAGTGTAATGACAGTGATTCTGCAATGGGAGGTGCCGCTGGATGAGACATGAGCGAACGGATGAGTCACACGATTATGTGCTTGTTTGTTAGTCAACAATCAATGATGGATCATTGATTCAATTCATTCATTCATTCATCTAGTGAATCACTGCATCACTACAGACAACCCTTCTCGGTTGCTTCGCTTGGGAGACGGCCGTGATCCTGGCCTGACTGGCCACGAGGTGGCCGGCCATGGGTGTCTCACATCACCCATACGTGGTCACCATAGCCGGCCACCATATAGAGAAACGCCCACCCACCTCCCCCGTCGGCTTTCCCGCCGTATACAGGTATTTGTACGAATGTGTACCCTCCATAGGGTGTACGTACACGTCCCTCGTCGGCTGCCTGTATACGTACGAAATGTCCCTTCTGCCTTCCTTCCTCTCTGGTCTGTGCGAGTGCTCTTTCGATCAGCCTCCTCGTGGCCGGCGTAGCATGCTGGGTCGCCCACGGAAGTGCACGCTCCAGTCCTGCAACGGCGTCAACGATGAGGCCTCGCTCCGAAGCAACTGAAAGGTCCGAGAGTTTCAAAGAGAGAAGGAGAGGTACGTGGCATACCCACCAATCCAATATGTGTGCTGTCTTCCTTTTGTCTTGCCTACCTCTCGCAGCCATGTCGTTGTCCCCTCCTGCCTCTCCCATCTCCTCGTCTTCAAACTCTGCCGGCTGCTCGTCGGGCCTGGCGTCCCTCTCGCCAAATGCGATGGCATCCTCCTCACTCATGGATTGGCGGGCCGCCTCCAGCCGCTCCTCTGCGATATGATCTGCGATGTCCTTGTACGTGACGCCAGTCGGCACCACGAGCGTGTCGGGCTCGAGCTGCCCCTCAAAGGCAGCCCAGTCGTACCGGCCGCCGAGAGAAACATCACCAACCAAGTACTCCTGGAGAAGCACACACAGGACAAACAGAGCCGTGAGCATCCAAGCATGCATGCTCTCTCCCTGTCTCTGTGTGTGTGTGTGTGTGTGTGTCTGTGTGCGTACATGTCCATCAGTGTGCTCGACCATCATCTCCTCCATCGACCCCCGACCGCCGTCACCCATGGAGGCGGCCACCGTCCCCGCAACCCCCTCACCCATCCATGCCTGCGTGGCTGCCTCCACTGCAGCGTCTGCATGCCGACTGACGGCATCGCTGTCACCCGCTGGCATGCCGTCCATCATGCCGCGCCCATTGTCCATCATGCCGCCCACTGCATCGCTGTCACCCGCCGGCATGCCGTCCATCATGCCGTCCCCATTGTCCATCATGCCGCCCTCCTCATTGTCGGCCTCCTCCGCAGCCCTCCATGCTGCCATGTACGCCTCCAGTCCGCCCATGGCGATCACCTTGGGATGGCGGGCCAGCTCCAGCTCCCTCCAGTTGGGTGCAAGTGCTTCCTCGTCATCCATCATCATGTAGTCGTCCTCTGGGGGCGGGGGTATCCCCGTCGGCATGGCAGCCGGGGCGGTCGGCTCAGGCAACTGGGATGGTTGGCCGCCCTCACCATTGCCGTCGCCCTCCATGCCATCGTCATCTCCATACCCAGCCATGAGCTGCAGCAGCGGGAGGGGCCGAGGGGGCGGATGGAAGAAGGGATCGTGCTGCTGCCCGACTGCCGCTGATGCAGTGTCTGCTGGTGTCGAATGCGCCATGTGGCCTGCCTGGTCGTGGGGCGGCGGGGCGTCGTTCTGCTGGCTGGGTGGGGGTGGCTCGGGCACGTCATGGTGGTGGGGGTGGGGGTCCGGGTGGTGGTGGGGCTGTGCCATGTCGACGTCAATGCCGTCCGTCTGCTGGTGCTGTTGCGGCTCCGGCATTCTGCCCTCCACGCGAATGAAGAGCTCCTTGAGGGACTCGACGGTACATCGCGCATGTCTCAAGCAGTTCTCGATGGTCACCCTGCGAAGACAGCAGCATGCATTATGGGATGAGGAGCCGATTATGGGGGTCATGAGTGTCGTGCAGTCATCTTACGGGGTGACTTCTGCCCACGCTTCTGAGGGGATCTCGAGGCATCTGCGGAGCCCCCCTCCCTTGCCGGCCTGGCTGTCTGTGCGTCCAGCCAGCTGGCCCCACACCCACTGCAGCTCACGCGCCATGTACTTGACCTTGAGGGTCCAGATGATACCCGCGTCCAGCGGCTGGATGAGGGCTGTGGCTTTGGGTGGCAAATACAGCATCGTGACATTCGACAGCCGCTCGGTCAGGAAGTGGGTGCTGTGGTTGTCGAGGATGAGGAGGGCGTGGCGGCCCTGCTCGCGCATGTCGTCATTGAAGTCGGCGGCCCACTGCTCGAACCGCTCGCTGGTTATGTATGTTGACGGGGTGGTGGCGCGGTCGATGTTGTGGCCCACATGCTTCTCCCAATCCCAGCCGGCGATGTCGCGGGGGTTCTTGCTCTTGTAGATGACCAGCAGCCGCCGCTTGTCAGTGCCGGTCATGTTGACGTATGCCACGATCGAGACACGCTTGCGGTGCTTCTTGCGACCTGTCATTCCAGGTAATGAATGCATCCATGCACCGTGCATTGTCTGTCCTCATCATCATGCGTGTGTGTGTGGTGTGTTCATACCGGCCAGGTGAGTGTCTTCCGGCATGTACGCCCGCGTCGGCATGCCACCGAGATACAGGGCGCTCCCATCCATATTGTAGATGTCCTCCGGCCGGAAGCGCAGCAGGGTGGGGTAAAGGACGTGCCGCTGGAAGACGTAGGTGGCCGTCCGATCGGCTTCGGCTGCCTCGCCCTCGAGCCGGCGGCACACCAGCCGATGGTTGCGCACGAACCTCTTGACCCACGACACGGGCGCCTGATCGGTAGGGAACGCACACCCTGAGGGGGAAAGAAGACAGTGAGGGTACACATGGATGGATGGCGGTACTCACTCACCTGGAAACGTGTCTTTGACCAGGCCCGTGACATGATTGTCGGCAAACCACGCACGCAGGGCCTTCTCGAGGGGCCCTCGCTGCTGCTTGCGGTAGCGCTTGCGTGCTGGATCGGCTGACACTGTGATGGTGGCCCTCCACCACTCCCAGTGCTGCGTGACCCGCTGGATAGTCCATTTGGTGAATCCGGCGATGTCTGCGATGAGCCGGTTGGATAGTTTGCGTGGAGTGCCGTCCTGGTCTGCGAGTGGACACACTCTGCCGTCCTTCATGGTGTGTGTGCCGGAGAGGTCATGTGTGCCGTCGTACATCTTGATCACACGCAGACTGCACACACACACGCACACACACACACACACGGACGCGTTTGCTGATGCTTGTGTGTGTCTGTCTGTCTGTCTTGTCAGATCCCCATTTCTCACCGCTGCGCGTCGTTCATTTGTTTGTTTTTGGGTTGGTGTTGTTCTGACGGGAATGCGGCCGCCGTCTGCTTGGCCGCCATCGGCTTGCGAACACCCGGCATCAGTGCGCTGTCGGGGAGAGGGCCGAGGCGAGGAAGGGTCTCGGCATACGCTGCTGCGGCCGCATCTTGCTGCACAGACACACACACAGACAGACACACACACACGCAGATGGGTGCTTGAATGCATGTGTGTCATATGTCTGCAGGTACCTCTTGTTTTTGCTCGAGGCGGAGCTTCTTGCGTTCTTCCTTCTTGCGCTCCCTCTCATCGTTGGCCTCTTGCTTCTTCTGGTCCTCGAGGGCCTGAGCGGCCATCTCGGTCCGCTCAGCGGCGATGGCGTCACTGACGTACTGCTCCATCGCCGCCACCCCGTCTGCCGCCCCGTCTGCCGCCCCTCCGGCAGCATCCCCCTCTCCCTCATCGGCATCCTCCCCCTCTCCCTCATGACCCTCGTCCCCCTCTCCCTCGCCACCCTCACCCGCATCTTCATCACGCGGTCTCTTGACGCCTCTGGCCTTTGGCTTGGCCTTGGCCTTAGCCTTGGACTTGGGTTTGGGTTTGGGTCTGGCTTTGGCCTTGCCCGCCGCTGCTGCCTTGGGTGCTGCCGTCTCGTTGCCGTCGGCGAGGTTGACGGCCACTGCTGCGTCTTCCTGCAGGGCCTCCTCGTTGTCTCGTTTCTTTTGCGATGGCTTGCGCGTCCGCGGATGGTTGAGGATCTCCGGTTTGCGGTCTTCGTACTTGTGCCGCTTCATTGCGATG